TATATCGGAACTTTTATAATATCTAATAGTTCATTGGTTGACAGTGACAGTCTGACAGTTGACAGAGGCGGCTAAAAAGAAACAAAACGTCAGTTAGGGCGTGTGCGTAACAATTAAATAAGGAAAAGAGATTTTCCGCATGATTGAGGAACGTTATTTTTTACGACTGTGCGGAGAAGCACTTTTCCGCACGCATTTCAGGACATGAAAGTACCAGGGTGACTTACCATTGCATAATTATTTTACTTTTCCGCACTAGAGCCTAAATGCGTGCAGAAAAAAGCAGTTCTCGCACGCTCGTAGAAAAAAAATTTCGTCTCCGGCGGATCCTACGGCGAACTTCAGCCTCCCCCTATGAACAAATTTATAAAGTTATTCTGCACCCATGAGAACTTTCAAAAGTCGGCGCCTCTGGAAAATCGTACCGTTCTCAACCTGGAACTCACGAGGGAAAAGAGCGCGGTAGAGAAACCCTCGATAGAAATTCCTCAAAAATCAAAACATACTGTGTCATTTTAATAAATATTACATATTGTTAGATCAGTCTGGTGTGGTATGTATTGGAACATTCGAACGCTCCCAGTGCAGGCGCAGCACTCAGCCTACTGGGAAATGGGTAATCCCCGGTGTTCGTGCGTGATTGTATTGTGTCTTGTTTACTTACCTTTCGTCTTGCCAGTTGCCTAAAGCATGCGTTGTTGTTGGTTAGTCAATTGGTCACATAGCGTTAGGGTTTCCATACGTCCGGATTTACCCGGACATGTTTGGGTTTTTAGGGTGTCCGGGGAAGTCCGGCCGGAATTCGGAACAATGTCCGGAAAACTCGGAGATACCCAAGGATGATACACACTACTACTACTACGGGATGGCCTATGGCCTATTCTCATAATAAGGCCTTTGTGTAACAAACTTAGAGTAACAAATCCCCCCCTCGCCCAAATACCAATTGTGACGTAGGCAGCATGTTATTTCCATGTTATTTCTCGCCTTGACATAGGCTGTTTAAACAGCTGATGAAGTCGGAAATGGTTTCACACCAATATGGCGGCAATTACCAAAAACAAGGCCAATAAGCACTCCTTAGACTTTAGAGTGTGTATTCTCCTTGGGAGATATCTACTAAGAATTCGAAATTTTGTATCCTGGGGTGGCAAGTAAATTGTATCCTGTAATCTGCACCCATTTATTCAGGGGTCGTATTTTCGAAACCATTCGAATGCCGTTCGTATACGAAATAAGGCGAAATTCGCATGAAAATTGAATTTCCGTATTTTCGAATCGCTTTCGAACGGTCCGTACACGATTTGGTTCGTGTACGTTTACTCGAGTGGGTCTCCACCAGTCGAATTTCACATTTCGCATGCGATTTTAATTCATTCTGCGCATTGTTTGCAATTTTGAAGTGCTTATTTTGTTTATATACGTTACATTTGTTGTTTATACAGTAAGGGGCAGGCTACTAGGTATATAGGATCCAACTTGACGAATTTACGATCGTCCGCAGCCGTCTGAACACCTGTCGCTGTCGGTCCGCTGTCGTTTTTTCGATGACTTTGATGTTCATAAACCATGGTTCACATCAGTACGTTTTATGATTTTACAGACTTAAGCCCGGTCCAGACGTTACGTTACTGATACCTGATCGATCACGTGTTGAACTGTGCAGACAAAACTTGATGCAAAACGTACCATCTAGACCGTGCTTTTAGATGTATCGTCGAGCTTCACTTACTTATAATTATTAAACGGCGTGTATAGATAGATTTTTTTTGGAACCGAAACAATAATCTATGGAAAAAAAAACATGTATTTTAAAAAAGCCATCCAGGAAAAACTAAAAATATATTCAACATAAAAAATCGAAAAAAAATTAAGTAAAATAAAAACAAAAATTCTAGTTTTGACCCCAAAAACCTGGCTCGATTACCATTTGCACTACAATGTAGCAAATGTTCAAACAGTCCCAGTCCACCTTCTTGAACTAAACAATGACCTAAACGATCATAGAAGGCTCTACGAATATTATTTAGCATCACAGGGGTGACAGTTAGATATATTTCTCGAATTTTGAAACGCAGCTGCTCAAGGTTCACGGCGCATTCTCCTGAAAACCATACATTTTTGATTTGCAATAACCCCAGAGAAAATAATCGTTGGGTGCAAGATCGGGAGAGCGTCACAGTATTGTAGCTCTCGACCCAGCAATGAGACGGTTCGGAAAAGTATTATTCAAATGGTCCAGAATGAAACCCGTATTATGGGCTGGACATCCATCTTATTGATACCATATTTCATTAAATCTATAGGACCAGATAATCTTTCAATTTCTGGAATTATCTGCCGTTGGCCCGTTGCAAAAGATCCAAATATTTTGGACCAGTTAAGTTAGCGTCCATGAAGTACGGCCCAATAATATGTTATCCACACAAACCGCTCCAGACAGTTACCTTTTGACGACGCTGGGCTCTAAGCTCAAAATACCTGTGTAAATTCTCCTTAAACCAATAACGGGTGTGACTAGGATTATGTCGACCATGGAGTTGAAATGTCGACTCATCTGTAGAGACAATTTTTCTAAGAAAATCTTGATTTTCATTTGCCTTATTAATGACAGTTTCACAAAAATCCATTCGCCTGATGTTGTCCTCAGGATCAATTTTTTGGGAGTTTCTTACTTTGTACGAACGATACTTTTTTTTTTTCTGTGGCTCCTAACCGTCCTTGTACTCGAGTCAATATCCTGCGCAAGCGCACGAGTCGAAATAGTTGAAGTTTTGTTAACTATTGCCAACAACCAACAACATAATTTATTTGGCTTCTTGATCCTCATTATTTTCCGGGACGTCATTTCGTTTGGTTTCAGGGAGAAACACAACCGTATTTTTGAAAATTATTAACAACCCTAGAAACTTTTTACTTGGTTGTCGCCAGGTTAGCGCTAAATCGATTTGTCATTTTCTGACATGCGGACGCCTGCAAATTCGTCAGGTTACATCCTATATACCTAGTAGCTTGCCCCTCACTGTATACCTAAATACGTTGTGCAAATTGAAAATTGTGTTCGTTGTTCGTTCTCCTTTTGACTTTTCATTCGTTTCCAAATAATTTGTGAATTAAATTGTCCTGCTTTATTAAAAGACAGTTTTTGGAATGGCTGGCTTGGATTATTTAATCGAAAGAAATGTTATTGATGCCCTCGAAGAAGCGGAAATACTGACAGATCATAGGGATAGGGTGTTACATCCCTTTCTTGATCCACTGGAAGAATATTAGGCTATTCAGCTCCGAAAATTAATTGCCTGACGAAGCCACTCACCTCGGAGTTGATAGAGCTTTTAGAGCCTCATCCAAAAACCATGATTGTTCGTTAACGTTATAAAAAACAAGGACGTTCAAGGAAATCCCAACGAATAGGTGCACAAAATTTATTTCAGCAAGATCTATACCAGCGAAATAGACTCAATAATACTTGATAAACCTCGTGATAAACTCAGTGGATAAACTCAATAAACAGCCACAAAATACAAAAAAGAAAAAGTTAACAACAGCCTATCCAAAACACGTGACTGATAAGCAAAATATGGCCGGCAGAAGGAACACAAACTACTATTTGCATACACTATTCAAATGCACTATTTCTAACATTAATAAAAACAACAGTTTTAGGTATAAGAACTCAAATAATTCACAATAAGTACTTTTTAAAACTCATAACACCATTTGATAGCAAATAAGCAAAGGGTTTATGTGCCTCTTGGCGACCATATTAATTTTAGTTTGACAGCATCTTGGACAGTCTAATAAGTCAGATGTCAAAAATTCTTCTTCGTTTTTGTATCGATCGAAATGGCCATTACCAAATACTCGAATTTGCGACGATGCCAACGCAAATGATACTCGTATACTATATCATTTTCGAAGGGCCTTCAAAAATACGCATTTTAGTTCGTACACGACTTTTTTCATTCGAATTAGATCGCATGCGAAAGAATTCGCATGGTTTCGAAAATACGACCCCTGGGTTGCCTATAGAATTGATACACGTGTTATTTTTTTGTCTCTTGTCATTGGTACCTTGTATTTGTCATTGTGTCTTCAGTCTAACGGAAAAAATGCTCAAAGTGTATCTATTAATTTCTGTAAAAAATTTATTTCTGCAAAAAAAAACAAAAAAAAACATCCTTTATAAAAATTTTATCGGCGAAGTCCGGATTTTGTCCGGATTTCTTGACCTCTTAGGTCCTGGATTCCGAAAAACCTTTATGGAAACCCTACATAGCGTTATGCTGTACAACTAATAGTCCGCCCAAAATAAGAACACCGTTTAAAAAAATGTGAAGAAATTAAGTTCATAGAAAAGAAAACAGTTGTTACGTACACTCACTACAAAAAAATGAGGCGTTTAATAATTGTTATTTCTTAAGAATTATTAAACGCCTCATTTCTTTGTAGGAAGTGTACGTAACAACTATATTTTCTATGAACCCTAATTCTTCACATTTTTTTCAACGGTGTTCTTATCTTGGGCGGACATTAACTGCAGACTGTTTCACCTGTTTTTATCAGAGACTAGACTACTAACTACATACTACATAGGTAGTGCATTCTTTGGTAGTGCATATCAAATTTCACGTCTCTTGATAAACTATTTCCCATAAGTATTATTGGTGTTGGAATTGTTTTGATTTTCCAATGCAAGTTCATAGTCTAATGCACAGTCTAAAGATTTAATGATTTGAAAAAATGTAACTGAAACAATTAATTGAGTATACCCTTAATGGTTTACCCTTTTAACTAGGCAACTTATCTGTCTACGGATTTCTACTGATATTTAGACTGGTAGTCTACTGAAAAAACGAAATATGACCTGGCAACACTGTAGGTAGGTACCATTTTGTGTTGTTGGTTTCAAGGTACTAGGTGTTCTGATATGCGAAAATGAAGAAACCGAATGTTATGTGTGTTTTTTTATTTATCTAAGCTGATCTATTAATATGTGATCACACTAGATTAAAATTTGCTTTATTTGGGTTGGTTGATAAACTATTTTTCATTGATTGGTTAAAATGAGGTTGCTGTAAATTCAGTCCCATTATGTCATTCACAGCATTTTTTTCTTTCCTAATTTCTATAATTTCCTTGATCATTAATTTATGGAAATTTTTGTCTTCGTACAATATTGTGGTATTGTTAAACGCAAAACAGTGATCTGAATCTTTCATGTGTTTATCTAATGCAGTGTTAGCATTTTTAGTATTCATGTCCATTTAGTCTGTTCTTTACAAGTAGAGTGGTCATGCCAATGTATTTTTTGGGACAATTTTCTTTCACAGGGGATTGAGTAAACTACATTTGAATCTTTCATAATTGGTGTTTTACTTTTTAGTCTCGTAAATAAGGAGTTTAAACTATTCTGGGATCTGTGAAAAATTTTCAGTGCAAAGCGCTTTTGGCCTTAAGCCATCATCAGTGCCACTTGCAAATAAAGAAACCCCTTGTATAAATTAAAGCAGTGAAGAAAATGGAAAGCCCTGAGGGGGAAAACAAGAAAGATTTCAACTTACTTTGTCAGGTTTCAATAAAAGAGCCAGTATAATAATGTTAAAAAAGACGAGACCACATTTTACAAATTTCATTAACAAGTTGATTATGTTGTGGTGAATTGTTTAAATTTAATTGGCCGTTCAATAAACAGTCTAAAGTTTTAAGTTTGGTTATTTCTAAAGATTCTAGAAGATTTAATTTTATCCCTTTGTTTTCATTATGTAATATTTGAAATTCATTATTAAAATTATGATTTGATTCTATCAGGTGATTTGCATTTTTTGAATCTGTTTTCTTTTTATTGAAACTATTGTAATGTTCTTTTCTTTAATTCTAGTACCGTAAGGTGCAACAGTGGCACAACTTGCAACAATATTCATCGGGTGGAATTTTTGGATATGATGTGCTTGAATGCTTGAATGCTTGAATGCTTAGTCTCAAACATTGAATATCTAGTTTTGAGTTAAGTTTGAAGGTTTTCGTAAATAGATTTTTTTTTAAATTGCATGTACAGAAGTGGGTAACTTGCAACATGCCTCGCAAATACAAAAAACAGTTAGGGAGTAGGACCTACCGTAATTATTCCAACGAAACTTTGGAAAATGCATTAAACGGATCAGGGATTCGGGAAGCATCGCTAGAATTCGGGATTGACCCATTAACGCTTTCTCGGAAAAGAAGAAACTTGTTTCCCCTTGATCCTGGTAGGCAGCCTGTATTTCCAAAGGAAGAGGAGGAAAAATTGACCAAAATTGGCCAAAATTAGCCAAATTAATTTTTTTCAAATAGGTATTTTGTGTTGCAAGTAAGTTAACACGCGTTCCTAAATACAATTACTACTGAAAAAAGCCACTTGTTGCAAGTATCCCCTTGCAGGTGTTCAACTTGCAACACCCAGTTTTTTAAAAAAATATATATCAAATAATAATGTTGTTCAAAGTTTTTTGTTAGAATCGGATACTAGACCACAAGACTAAAATTTTGGCACCAATTAGGTCAAATTCGACAAAATAATAAAGAAGGTACCGGCAAAAGAATTTTGAAAATGTTGCAACTAACCCCACCCCACCTTACGGTACCAAAATTTCTACCTGTTTGTCCTATATAGGTATACTTTTGGACAATCTTTACAAGATAATTTATAAACTCCAGATTTATATATTTTTTTCTTAACATAAACGATATAAATGTTGCTTTCAAAACTAACAATACAATAGGCTTTCACTTGAAAAATAATAAATCTAAAACTAAAATTTGGGATAAATCTGGAGTTTATAAATTATCTTGTAAAGATTGTCATCGCAATATTTGACCCATGATTTGACCTGAACGGCCATATAAAATCACGTGATTGAGATTGCCTAATTATAAAATTTTTGGTACGCTCGGCTAGCCATACCGTCTGTAGCCACCTGAATTAATTACCATCAAGTTGGAAGCAAACTGGCAAAGAAACTGCTGCCTTGTAGCTGGATGTTGGATCATCAAAGGCTAGAGGAAGACAACCTTGATCACAAATTACCTGGTCCTCCTGGTAAGGGGGTTGAGGCACCAGGCTAACTCCCCGTTACTCGGAAAAAACTTTAGACTGTTAAAAGACCCAATCAACAGCTTCGGAACAGGACTGAAAAACGGAAACGAACTAGGCAACATTAATGGACAATGAGTATCGGTACATGGAACGTCCAAGGAATCTCTAGAAAAATAAATGAAGTGATATCAGAGATAAAATATCAAAAAATGGACCTGCTTGTCGCCACAGAGACCAAAAAGAAAGGACAGGGCTCAGAAAATCTTGGAGAGTACGATCATTTCTTCAGCGGGGTTCAAAAAGAATTCAGAGCGAAGAAAGGAGTCTCGATCTTCATACACAAAAAATGGAGAAAACATATAACATCATGGGAAGCAGTGAACGAAACAATAATAAAACTAAATGTATGTATGTTCGGAAGGAAAATAACAATCTTGGGAATATACGGTGTGAACGACAACGAACCCGTTAATATAAAGGATTAATTTTATCAACAATTGAGTGACCAAATCATAAGAGTAGGAATTTTAAGGGAAATAATATTGCTGGGAGACTTTAACGGACGAACAGGAAGGAAAATCGACGAAGGCTCATAGCAATATGCCAACAAAATAACCTGAAAATCCTAAACGGTTACTTCCAGCATAAAGAAATACATAAGTACACATGGAAAAATGAAACCAGACAACAAAAATCGATCATTGACTACACTATCGCAAAACAGAGCTCGAACATAAAGTTCCAGGATGTGAAAGCATATAGGGGAGCGACCTGTTGAAGCGATCACTACCTCCTGAAAACAAAAATCTTTATCCCGGGCAGAAACACCGCAAAAGAAAATGGAATGGAAAAACAAGAAGACAAAATTGTGCCTGAGAGATACAACCTAAAATCTCTAGAAGAGCAAAGCGTAAAGGGGTTGTACATGAAGAGATTGGATCAAAAATTACAGAGTAGTATAAACTTCCAAAACCTAGAAATGCATTACCAACATATCGAAGAGAGTAGAGAAGCCCTAGGCAAATACGAAAAAAACGGAAGAAGGCCCTCACCCTATTGGTGGGATCAAGAAATAGAGAAAGACATAGCAGATAAAAGGAAGTAATACCAACAGTATCTAAGTTCAAAGAAGACACGGGACAAAGAAATATAGTCCTGGACAAAATTATCGCACCACCACTGCACATAAGCACCATAAGCAGTGGTGCAATAATTTTGTCCAGGAGTATATACAGGGTGACTGGTAAGTGGACGTATTCCTTTGAGAAGGAGAAAGTAGAGCCCATTTGCTACCGATTAAACATTATTTACCTCTATACCATTCTCAACGGTTTTGGAGATATTTTTTATTTTTATTTTTAAGAAATTCACTTTTTTGGGAGGTAAATATTTAAAATTAACGAAATAATAAGGAACATACCTTATTTAGGTAAATGTTAACACCAATATTTGACAACATTTCTATTGTAACACTTGGTATTAAAAACAAATCGAGTAATTTTTTCTTCATATTGGTTACTCTTACAAATAAAACTTATTTATTTAATAATAAAACAAAAGACTAATTCTGAAATAATGTGTCTTATTCTGAAGACAATAATATCGAGAACTTTTATTAATAATTTGTACGTTTGATGTACTATGAAATTTTCGAAATTTTTAAGCATAAAGTAACCATTAGTTTGTAACTTGACAAGAAAAATTAAGTTTAAACCGAAATAATTTAACAGTTAATAATATTGTTCAGGATCACCTATAAGAGTTATGCAAGAAGAAGTTAAAAAACACTGTAGCTTCTTGAGAAACGGTAGGGCACCAGGCCCAGGAGAAATATATGGAGAACTGATAAAGTAACAAAACTATTTCAAACATGCATAGATAAACATGAAGTACCGGAAGAGTGGAATATTAAGCTATTTTACAACGATATATAAAAAAGGAGATAGAAACAATTGCGAGAACCACCGAGGAATTGCAGTAACAAACACACTGAGCAGAGTGTATGGAAAACTCATAAGAGCCAGAATAGAGAACGAGTTCAAAGATAGTGAGGCAGAAGAACAGGTCGGTTTTAGAGCAGGAAGATCAACTGTAGACCATTTATTCAGTTTGACCTAGGTAATGGAAAAGAAACTAGCCTATAACCAAGAACTCCATTTACTCTTTATAGATCTAAAAAAAGCATATGACAATGTTCCGCTGAAAAAGCTTTGGGAAGCACTGGAAAAAACCAATATCAATTTAGAACTAATAAATGCAGTAAAAACGCTCTATAGTGATGCAAAGACCAAGATTAAACAGGGAAACATGATCAGTAAAGGCTTTATAGCAACTAAAGGACTTAAACAGAGATGTTGCATATCACCAACGCTTTTCAAAATATACTTAGAGCAAGCGCTTAAGAGGTGGAAAAACAAATGCAGACACATGGGAATACCGCTCAATGAATACAATTTATATACTTTAAGCTTTGCAGATGATCAAGTAGTAATTGCACAGGACTATGATGACCTAGAGTACATGACACGAAAACTGAGAGGAATACGAGAAATGGGGTTTGGAAGTGTAGTAAAAGACGAAATAATGGTGGAGGGATACTACTTTTGGTTGCCACGATAAAATCAAACAACACTAATCGACTAATTAACGTTTAATTAAGCAAACTTACGGGGAACATAATTGTGCGTCTTGATCCCGACTTTAGGTCTGTTCCCACAGGAGTTTCTGACAGTTTGCAAACTGTCGGTAAGCATCGCCCATGCATATTTTCAATGCTGTCGTTACAAGATAAATCTGTAACTCAGCTGAGCGATTGTTTCTGACAGTTTGCAAACTATCAGAAACTCCTGTGGGAACAGACCTATAATCATGGGAGAAGAGCGCGATACCGCCAAAATTAGACAGGAGCATACCTGGCAGTATTGACCCATAACGGATGTCACTAACGTCAGATGCCAAGCAACGTTGCCAAACATGCAGAGTAGCAACAAATAGAGGAAACGCGCCAAATTCAAAAATGCTTAAAATTTGACTACAGTTTCGGCCAACCTGACACTAGATCGTCCCGATCTATCATCATAAGAACTAGAATTCTATAGACATCATAAATCAAAAATTTCACAAATACGGTAAACATAATTGGTCATAATAGGTTAAACATGTAATATTCAATAAATGGGCATTATTAATCAA